GAATTTAGTTTAAGTGAGCCGAATGTAGGATGAATTGGTTCAGAACATTCACTAACTATTGACATGTCACGTGACTTTTATGTTGACTCCAGTGAAATTACTCACTGACAGGACAGAGAATGAAGAAAGGTAATGGTCCTGGATACGAATTTAGTGGAACCCAATAAACGATGTGTTTCTCTCATACTTTTATTCTCAGTGGAATCCTCATAGACTATAAGATTCATGGAAACCTCAAAAACAAGCTTTTTCATGGAAACCTCAAAAACAAGGACATAATCCATAGCTTAGCTCCTCAAGTGTCAGGTACTGCTTTGTTCTGATGTCCATTGCTTCTGGTATCCAGTACTCTTTTTCAATTCTTGTTTTGTTTACCTTGGTTTTTCTGGTTTTCTATTCTATGTCTAGTTTTCTTTATGCTGAGTTTTCTGGGTTCAATCCTGTATTCCGTTCCTGGAATTCCCAGTCTCCTGGATTCTTTTAAATGTTTGTTTTATGTTGCCACACCTGTTCCCTTTCCATTATTCCTTTTGTTTCAGTCTGATTCCTGCAGGTAGTTGCTCAGGTTATCTGCCTTTTCTTGCAGGTAAGTGCTGTATGTGCTTTATTATGGTTCATTTAGTAGACATTAGGCAGAGTAGGACCTGCCAAATATGGGGTACATTGGCGTTGTGGCAGGCTTATGCAATGTATGATCATATAATGTAACTAAATCCACATAGTTTTCATATATAGTACTTAGTTTTGTCTCCTTTTGTTTTGCCTATCATATCTTCTTGTTTTATTTTGTATTCCCAGTTCATGTACAGTCCTGTCCTGTCCTGCCCATGTTCTGTTTATGTTTCCCTTATGTATTGTGTACATGTTCTGGGTTTAGCTTTCTGTCCTCCTCTGGTTCTGGGTTCTACTAGTTTTGTCTTGTTTTCTTGTTTGGTGTCTATCCTAGTCTTATCTTGTTTCTAGTACTGGATACATTTCAGCGTTCATCTGCTCTGGCTTCCACTAAGCTGCAACAGGGTCTTGGTATGTGGCCACACAAACGCTGGTGCTCAACACCAGGGGGTGTGCGTTTACCCTGCACCAGGCCCTACGTGTCCACTACCACGCTGAAGACTCTGCTGAAGATCTCCATATCAGGCACATGGGTCCGGGTTTTCGAACTGCCACCCCTGACATCAAGGAACCCTGTATGCTATGACATTCTCCCATGTTTCGTTCTTAGGTGAAACCTTATAGACTCATAGAGAGAGAATATCCCATTATTAGCTTTTCAGGAGAACCTTATACACTATGAGATTCTTTCAAGTGTAGTTCCTTCAGGTAACTTCAGATTATGAGACTTTCTTTAGCTCTGCGGGGGGACATCACAGGCTTTAAGATTCTCCTAGGTTTAGCTGAACATGGGAACCTCTCTGGCTATATAATTCACCAATGTTTAGCAATGTAGGTATCCTTGGTTCAGCTCTTCAGGGAACTTCACAAACTATGAAACTTTCCTAGGCTTGGTTCTGCAGGTGAACATCAAAGACTGTGGTATTCTCCTTGGTTAAGTTGAGCAGGGGAACATCACTGACTATGATATTCTCCTACGTTTAGCTGTGTATGAGAACCTCACTGGTTATGAAATACTCCAAGGTTTAGCAATACAGAGGAAACTCGAATACTATGAGAGTATTTTATTTTTAGTTCTTCAGGGGAATTCACAGGCTATGAGGTTCCTTTAGGCTTAGTTTTGTATGGGAACCTCACTGGCTAGTGAAATTCTCCAAGGTTTAGCTATGTGTGGGAACCTAACTTGCTATGAAATTCTCCAAGGTTTAGATGTGTAGGAAAACCTCAAAGACTATGAGAGCCTAATAGGTTTAGCACCTATAACATTCTCTTCGGTTTATTTCTGCAGGGAAACCGCATAGGCTATGAGATTCTCCCAAGTTATTTACCCTAGGGAAGTTCTTGAGGCTTTAAACTAGTGTAGATCCACCCTGTTGAACTATGTTGGGAAGATTGAACTTGTGCAATTTTTTTGAAAAATGCAGGCATTTTGAAATCTAGTTCTAGATTCTATTATGAGATAAGCTGATCTCTTGTAATTGGCTAACAGCTATCCTGATGATGTCTACAAGAAGAAGTCTGCTCAAATACAAACAGTAAGCTCATCTAATGAAAGCAATCTAGCTCCTAGTGCATGGGTAGACAAGCTTTGGAACTCTAAATGATGTGGACTACATCTCCAATAATGCAGCCATAACACTTGAATGCTTGCAAAGCATCAGGGGAGATGTAGAACACAGCATCTGGAGTGCCCATGATTGCCTATCCTTGCCCTATTACCTATTTGAAGGTAAATCATTATTTAGAAAACCAACCTCGTTCAGATCTTTCTTGTTAATTAGTGGTAAATTCTGAGGGTAAATATATTTAGGGGCCCTGCTTAATTCACAGGCATCTTTTTCCTTATGCCTCTTAAGCCTCTTTGCCAGTCAGTAAGAGCTCAAGGCTTTATTATAGCACTGTCAATGACTGATATATAAAACCTAATTCCTCTCTTGCTGGCAGACACAACAGGGGGTTGTAGATGTGCAGAGGCACCCTATACAGTACGTTTACTTACACTATGGTCACCAAAACAACTTTAGCTTAATGAAGCAGTTTTGGTGTATAGAACATGCCCCTGCAGTCTCACTGTTCAATTCTCTGCCATTTCTGAGGTGAATTACTTTGTTTATGCAGCCTTAGTCACACCTCCCTGCATGTGATTTACACAGCCTTCCTAAACACTTCCTGTAAAGAGAGATCTAATGTTTACACTTCCATTATTGCAAATTCTGTTTAATGTTTTCTTATCTCCTGCTATGTTAAAGGACCACTCTAGGCACCCAGACCACTTCAGCTTAATGAAGTGGTCTGGGTGCCAGGTCCTTCTAGGGTTAACCCATTTTTTCATAAACATAGCAGTTTCAGAGAAACTGCTATGTTTATTAATGGGTTAAGCCTTCCCCCTAATCCTCTAGTGGCTGTCTCATTGACAGCCACTAGAGGCGCTTGCGTGCTTCTCACTGTGATTTTTACAGTGAGGGCACGCCAGCGTCCATAGGAAAGCATTATGAATGCTTTCCTATGTGACCGGCTGAATGCGCGCGCAGCTCTTGCCGCGCGTGCGCATTCTGCCGACGGGGAGGAGAGAAGGAGGATCGGAGGAGGAGAGCTCCCCACCCAGCGCTGGAAAAAGGTAAGTTTTAACCCCTTTCCCCTTTCCAGAGCTGGGCGGGAGGGGGTCCCTGAGGGTGGGGGCACCCTCAGGGCACTATAGTGCCAGGAAAACGAGTATGTTTTCCTGGCACTATAGTGGTCCTTTAATGGCTTGCTAGACCCAGCAGGAGCCTCCTGTATGTCATTAAAATTAAATTTACAGAGCTGGAGATAAAAACTTTACAAATAAGTGACAGCTGATTGAAATTAAACCATTTTGTTTTTATGCAGGCTGTCAGTCACTGCCAGGGGATGTGTAGCAAGGGCTGCATAAACAGAAACAAAAGTGATTTAACGCAGATAATTGAGCAGTGAAACTTCAGAGGCATGATCTATACACCAAAACTGATTAATTAAGCTAAAGTTGTTTTGGTGACTATAGTGTCCCTTTAATATACTTATATGGGTTAATTGATGAAGGATGGTCACTGATTCCTATGTGATGATGTAGTTTTTTAAGGACTACAACTTCATGACACCTCTAAGATTGATGAGGTGTATATGAGAATTACATGTCATGTGATTTTTCTACCGCAGGTTTGATAAAAGAAAAAAGAAAATTTCAACTGATCACACAACAATTACAGTGAAATTCTCTAGGTGAGATTCAGCAACCGTATCTCACTGGCAAATTGCAACATATGAACTCAGAATACGGATCAGGTTGTAAATATAATTAAGAGTACACGAGTAAAGTGCAATGATGCAATCCAGTTGGGTTCATTATGTGTGTTGCTCAATAGCATTGATTAGTTACATTTGAATGTAATTGTCGGAAAAACATAGCATTGTCCTGGACAAGTGAACTGCGAAGATTTGTTTTAACGAAGGAATATTCAAGAGAAACTGCTGTATGTAAGTGAGGAAAAATTCTCATATGCCTTAAAGTTAGTTATTATTTCACTTTTTAACAGTTTTAAAAAAAAGTAAGTCTAAGGACCTAGGTAAGTTGTCAAACCGCTAACAAAGTGTAGTGGTTATGGTATCTGCAGTGGTTTTGATGCCACAAGTTCCCTAAAGCCCCCAATATATGTATCCAAACTGTTTGATAATGGTTTGACGACTTGCCTGTGGTCCACCATGTGTCAGTACACTTTTTCCTTTAGAAGTTAATAGGAAAACCGGTCACCTTGTCAATGAGAGTCGGTGGTCCAGAGCTTAGCTGACACAATCAGCAAATGAACCAGCACTGCACAGCAGGATTTAGCTCAGGAGAGCTGTTGGAAGCTCCACTCAGGAGCTTCCTGTTCTCAATGGTGGAAGTGACTGGCGCTAGGTGGATCCCAGATAAGTTTGACCACCTAAACCATCCTCATGTGAGGAGCATTTTCCTTTGGGAATCGGCCCAAATCATCCATCTATTCCACACACTGTTCTCATATCAGGATTGGTCAGACAGTAGGTGGATCAGCAGCAGACATCTTCCTATAAGGAACAGATTTACACCATCCTCCTATCAGAATACCGTCCTATCAGGATCAGCGGCACACACCAGGCTCTTATCAGCATACCACCATTTACTACCTATCAGGATCAGAGACACACACCATCCTACTATCAACATACCACCATTTACCATCTATCAGGATCAGAGATACACACCATCCTACTATCAACATAGCACCATTTACCATCTATCAGGATCAGAGATACACACCATGCTCCTATAAGCATACCGCCATTTACCACATATCAGGATCAGAGACACATACCATCCTACTATCAACATACCACCATTTACCATCTATCAGGATCAGAGATACACACCATCCTACTATCAACATACCACCATTTACCATCTATCAGGATCAGAGACACACACCATCCTACTATCAACATACCACCATTTACCATCTATCAGGATCAGAGATACACACCATCCTACTATCAACATACCACCATTTACCATCTATCAGGATCAGAGATACACACCATCCTACTATCAGCATACCGGCATTTACTACCTATCAGGATCAAAGACACACACCATCCTACTATCAGCATACCGGCATTTACTACCTATCAGGATCAGAGATACACACCATCCTACTCTAAGCATACCCTCATTTATCATCTATCAGGATCAGAGATACACACCATGCTCCCATAAGCATACCGCCATTTACCACCTATCAGGATCAGAGACACACACCATCCTACTCTCAGCATACCGCCATCTACTACCTATTGGGATCAGAGATACACACCATCCTACTATCAACATAGCACCATTTACCATCTATCAGGATCAGAGACACACACCATCCTACTATCAACATAGCACCATTTACCATCTATCAGGATCAGAGATACACACCATGCTCCTATAAGCATACCGCCATTTACCACATATCAGGATCAGAGACACATACCATCCTACTATCAACATACCACCATTTACCATCTATCAGGATCAGAGATACACACCATCCTACTATCAACATACCACCATTTACCATCTATCAGGATCAGAGACACACACCATCCTACTATCAACATACCACCATTTACCATCTATCAGGATCAGAGATACACACCATCCTACTATCAACATACCACCATTTACCATCTATCAGGATCAGAGATACACACCATCCTACTATCAGCATACCGGCATTTACTACCTATCAGGATCAAAGACACACACCATCCTACTATCAGCATACCGGCATTTACTACCTATCAGGATCAGAGATACACACCATCCTACTCTAAGCATACCCTCATTTATCATCTATCAGGATCAGAGATACACACCATGCTCCCATAAGCATACCGCCATTTACCACCTATCAGGATCAGAGACACACACCATCCTACTCTCAGCATACCGCCATCTACTACCTATTGGGATCAGAAATACACACTATCCTACTATCAGCATACCCTCATTTACTACCCATCAGGATCAGAAATACACGCTATCCTACTATCAGCATACCCTGATTTATCACCTATCAGAATCAGAAACACACACTATCCTACTATCAGCATACCCCCATTTATCACCTATCAGAATCAGAGATCCACACTATGCTCCTGTAAGCATGCCGCCATTTATCACCTATCAGGATTAGCGACACACACTATCTTACTACCAGCATACCGCCATTTACCATCCTACCAGGATCAACAACACACACCATCCTCTTATAAACATAGAGCAATTCTCAGTTTAGGTTTAACTCCATGACATTCTTGAAGAATGTCTGCGTACACCCTCCAGTGAGTATACACTTAGATCCATGCACCCAGTTGGCACAATTTATGTGGTCAGCCTTTCTTTTAAAAAAGGACACAATTACTATGATATACAACATTTTTTCGGTAAAGCACAATAACAATTTTTATGTTTCACATTTTGGTACAATAACTCCTGTATAATATAATCTCATTGTCTTTCTGATGCGTGCCCATGGTGCCCCGTTTGTACATCGTGCGTACTAATTTGTCACGTGCCACTACACATCTCTCTCCAGGAACACACTATATCAAACTGCACCTGGTAGAACTAGATTGACACATGAAAAAGAAATGAGAATGGTAATTGTGTATCAGAAGTACCGGTAGGTCTTTTATTAATGAGGGATACTGTATTTTATTTTTAAGTACTTGTGCTAAAAAACAATAAAATATTCATGATAATGGTATTATACAGACATTCATGCCCACTTGGAATAAACTTGATGTGTTAGGTGTAGTATATTACAGCCATTTTAATTGTCCGAAGTTTTAGAATTGCACTTATTATTATTATTATTATTATTAATCAGATTATCAAAATTTTTCTATTAGTTTTGTGACTTTTAGAATTTAATTTAATGCTAAAACTGACATTTTTGTTTCTAAGTTACTGTTGTATTGGCATACTTTTTAAAGGGATACTATCAGCATTATAATCACTACACCTCAACATAGTGGTTTATGGCAAAACGTCTATGTGCAACCTCCCTTTTTGGAAGTGGCTTGACAAAAAGTGGGGGATTTCTTTGCACTCATACCCTGCCCCACCTCTAGCAGCTGCCTAGTTACCGCTCAATTAACACATCTTCATTACTAATATTAATACTCTCCAAAAAGTAATGTACCTTAGGTATTGGTACTTGGGATGTACCGTATTTGTCTGCTGCCCCACCTCCCCCATTTAGAAATTTTAAAAAATTCAGGCAGAGGAGAAAGACCGAGTCAAAGTATATCTATTGACAAAGTATATCTATTGACTGGCTTGGAATTTTAGTGAAAAATTAGTGTTTCATAAAGATACTATTTTTATTGTAATGATTAGGAGGCTATATATATATATATTGTTCATCCAGTTTTTGTCAAAGTGTTTTAAAGTTGTTTTACAAAAATCTCAGAATTCCCATAGAAATTGTATTTCACCCATATTTCTTGGGACAATGTTGCTACCCCACCACTCTATGAGTTTGTGCATCAGCTGGAGGACTGCAATCGCAATGTTATGCATTTAAGAACTGGCCCGTTGGGAGATTTCCTAGTGTTTTGTGATATTTGAGGTTGTCTACCATACCTTGAATTGTATGTTGTACCTGGGTGAGTTTACAATTGGCTGCATGGTGAGATGAGACAGTGCCCCATACATTAATAATAACGCAGGCCACATGTCATTGGTGGCAATGGAGTTTTAGGAACAGATATCGGTGAATACAATGTATGACATGACATACTAATGGAGGTTACAGGAACATATGATGTCACACCAAACAACTCTAGCAGCCCCCATCTGTCAATCCATATGTTGCGTGCTCAGGAAGAGTTTTATGGACAACAAAAAGTTAATTTAGTTTGTACATGCCACACAGGCCAAAGATTTTCAGCTCTCCCCTGTCTAACAGCCACTTCATATGTCCCATGTTACTTTTTTGTCTCTACATCTCTCATGTCCTTCATGTGTCTTTTCGTTCCCTATGCCCTTCAAGTGTTTTTACAAACTACTGTGTTTATCATGGATTTTTTTCACCTCCCATATCCCACATCTGTTTCTTCATGCTTCCAAAGTCTGTTTTTTCTCTATGTCTCTCCAACTCCCCCCTTTACCTCACTTGTCTCTCCATCCCCCGGTCCCTACCAGACCTTAGAACTTAGTTTTGAATCCTGGTCAGACCACCTCACGAGTTAGTGTCCCTGGACAAAACAACCAATGATAGATATCCTCCTACCTCAAATCCTTATAGATTGCAAGCTCGTATGAGCAAGGCCTTCTTCACCTCTATAATTGTAAAGCTCAAGTCACCCTTCACTCACAGCAGAGTTAAGACTCCAATGAGAATACTCGGCAGATGAATAAGCATTCCGAGTGCAGTCCTGATATACACCCTGACAGCATCACCCTTCTCAGGAGCGTCCACTCCTTGCTCTAAACTGGGGAACATGGATCCAAGGCACATTATTAGCTTCCCTTCTACCACGCAAACAGAAGAAAACCATGTTACAGTCACATACAGTCATGGCTTTTGCACCCTGCAACAAGTTAATTCATTTTCCGAATTTTTATGAAAAAGTGTCTGTTCTTCAGAAGTAGGAGTCAAAACTGCCTTGCAATAATCCCTCGCTTGGCCTCTCCTTTTGCAGGATCTCTGTCGATCCACCCTAAATTTGTGGCAATCATTTTCCTCTGCAACTGCGAGTGCTAGGGGACTCTAAGACCACCTAATGCTAGGCAATTTCTTGTTCCCTCATGGTAGACAAAGGCTCTTGGTTTTGAGGGCAGCACTACTGTCTAAACTCAAGCTCTGATTCCTCAGGGCTTTTAAACTCTCTGGGTCTTTCAGTTCCAGCAAACCTCCTTTGTTCCTTCGAAAAGTGTCTGGAGAGAGATGTAGATTTTGAAGATGTAAAGTTTTTAACAGGCACTGTCACCGTCTGGGGACTTTGCTGAATTCGCAAAGACCCCCGTTGATGACATCACCACTGGAGGTCCGTGGGTAAGTAAAAGTTAGTTTTACTTACATAAACCTGCTGAGAGGGCACGGCCACCCTGATCCGGCAGGTCCTCTTTGGGGCCGACGTCACTGTTGTACTCTCACGCATGCGAGAGAGTACATCGTTAGAGGTCCATGGAGGATCCTCTACCCTGAGCCTAAGAAAGTCAGGCAGATGAGAAATACAGAGACAAAGTAGTCCCTACATTGTCTTTGTATATCTCTTGACTGGGTTATAATTTCAGTATTCTATTTTTGGGGGGAATATGACTATAGGAATTTAGATAAATTCTTCTTTATTTATATCCACCCATTTTAACTGGTTATGTGTTCTTCTAGCATGCTGTTTCTTGCAAGTGATATTTTCTGTGTGTGTTTATCCTCCTAATAATCTCAGTAGTGATATTACGTTTTTACTTAGATGGTTTTTGGTGGTTAAAGTGAATAGAAAAAAAAAAGACGTGTTTATTGAGCGATCATTAGTGCAACTTTTTTCACAAGTTGTTCAATTTTCTGATCATTTTTCCAATTGCTGCAGGTTAGTACATGCCCTTCTGGATATTCTAAGGAAAAAAAGGCCAACTTTAAGAAGGCAATTCTGTGCTAAATTTGAAGCGCTCGATAGAAATCACTGCGAGCAGCATATTGCCCATAATTACTCCACTTTTGCCAAGATATACATGGCATATAGTCACCTCTCGTTCTTGCGGCATTAGAGTCCATTAACAGAGTATAGTGTGCTGGATGTTCCTGGCTCTTTATGGTGAGAGAAAACAGCTGCGGAATATAGTGGAGGAAGTGTTAGCAATGTGTGGGAAATAATATCCAATCCTAGTATACCGTCAAACAGTTGTAACCTAAGCTGCTTCTATATCAGACACCAGACTGACTCCAGATACATCTCTTTTGTCATCTCTTAGTCATCAATGTATTGTGACTCAGACGAGGGTCAGAGCTCATTTACTGTTATTTACAGTGAATTATCTCAATACGATATCACAGATTCATAAGTAATGAGTAAAAAGACGTTCTGACAAATATTCACAGCAGCCCGTTAGAGCTCTCTAAAAGAAAAAGTATCTTTGTAAGTTTGTATACAGATGTTGGAGTGTTGAGAAATGTGAATTCAATTCAATTTGGAACTTCAAATTTCAAGCCACAATAGCCACTGTTTCTTAGACAGGCCTCCAACCGCAGCATGGCGGCTGGGGGCATAAGAGAGGTTTACTAGCTGCCTTATAATAATTTAGAGGTCATATGTACCCTATAAGCTTTTTTTTTCTTAATTAACATTTTAATGTCTCGACTGGCTGGCTAGCGCTTTCCAGCCACCACATATAACAAACCAAATGTCTCGTCCAATGCCCATTTAATTTGTTTTATGATAT